TTTGTTTTTTTGAGTTTTGCATAAATTTTCGGCCCTTTCGTTCTGTTTCTGTTTGCTTTGACCTGGTTTTCCGCCAGGGCTTTTCCCACCAGCCACCAGCCACGAGCCACCAGCCTGTGTGTGTTTTCCTTTCCGTCTCCTTTCGCTCATCGCCGCTTTGGTGCGAGCATTTTTCGGTTCTCATTAAAATAGGTAAACAAAATCGCATAAAATTTCCTGATAGACAACAGATAAGAGTTAAAACTTTGCGCAAACTCCGGCCAGGACTCCGGGGGCCAGTTTGGTTAGGCAAATGAAGTGTAATTCCCGACGAGAGCGAGGCCCTCAAAACGCTTTCACCGGGCTTATTGGGAGTTAACTACTCAAGTGCGGCAGTTACAGGTTAACTTTGCCCCGATACGGGTTAAGTGCCTGCCATTACGTTGGCTTGTATTTATTATTCACGTTAGTAACTCTTTCAGTTGGAATTAAGCTTTCGCCTTTTCACCGTTTTTTATTTAAGAGCAGCAAATCGAGGGCGCACGCTTCAACTTTTTGTTCAGCTATTTTACAAAGTGTTCCGAGTTCTATTAAACACGTTTTAAATATAAGTGAAATTATCGTATCGTATTATTTTTTTTATTCGTGCAAGCCTTTCCAACCTTGTTAAAATAAATCTCTATTTTTGAAAACCTTGTCCGACAAATGGGTTAATAATAAAGTGTTGATGGTTGCCATTTTAGATAAATGCCTCTACAATTCTAACATTGTAGTACTATTTATTAGACAAAGCTAGTTATTTTAAATAATTAATGCATTGGATGTAAAGAAATTGAAACCAAATGATTATTTGCATTAGCTAACGCGTTTAGCATATAATAACAATTTAATTTAATTTAATTAGCTTGCATGGAATAGATATCCAATAAATTAGTTCACACCTAAAAAATTACTCAGAATTGCTTATTGAAATTAAATTCCACAAGCGCAAAAAGTAAATAAAATTAATCAGTGTTGGCATTGCACTAGTGTGGATTCACTATTATTCTAGATCCTGGTGCATCGACATAAATCAAATTCTCCAAAGCAAACCGAACGGAATTTATAGATGAGTTTGTGCCATCCGACTTCCTTCTTAATCCCATCAGGTGAGCCTAGATTTTATGATTCTGGCCAGAACAGCAACGCCTTTTTGCGTCTAACTCACATCACTTCACCGCCGAGACCTTAAAGCTTTCACTTGGGAATCCTAAATCAGCCCGACGACCATAAAACAACCGTACTTCTTTTTGATTCCTTTCCGTTGCCATTGGCAGTGCAAGCTTACTGGGTCAACACAAATCAGCATAAGCCACACAACTCCACATCGGACAATAACATTTTTATGTGTTAAGCTTTATGACAAAAGGCCAACACGAAACCAGGAGCGAGTGCACAGGAAAATGCTACGAGAAGTACGTGAAAGTTGCTGCAAGTTGGCCCAGAAAGTTACCCGATTTGTTTTGGCCGTAATAAATTTGGACAGCTGTAAGCAAGCAACAAATGGGGAATAAGCCAAACAAACGGTCTCGGTCAGTGCAATAGTTCAACGGAAAATAGTTCAACGGAAAAGTCAAGGACCGAGGGAATCGCTCTTGCTTTGAAGGCTTCTCCTCAGTTTTTTGCGTTTCGTAGCAGCAAAAGATCAATCTTTTCCCGCAGCTGCTCCACATGTTCCCCTTGTTGCAAGTGGCACTGTCAAAAATGTTGAGCTTGTGTAAACAACAAAACAGCCAAGTGGGCGTCGAGATGTTCGCTTAGCTATCTGCCAGCCATACACACTTAACCCTTTTTTACCTCCTAACTGAAAGCATCCGTTTGGGAGGTTTTATACAACTGAGGAAATTAATATTGCTCAGCAATGCTTGTAGTTGAAAAAGTTTAATAGATCATTCCTAGTTCATGTCTTCTTGATATTTCAGAGAATTATTTTACTTAAAGTTTGACACTGATGTCATATATTTAACAATGATATTATATTACTTATTGTTTAATCGTTTTCTCAAGAGAGAAAATTAAACATTAATTTCATTATATAATTTACTGATTTTAAATCATTGTTAAATATGGAAATGAACTACGTTATTGTTATTTGCTGTATTGTTGGACATCGACTCTCTTATTTTACCCATTTTCCTCAAATTCAAGCCCCCATGGGTTAATTCCATCCCAAACCAAGCCAAGCCAACCGTTTTGTGCGTGTTTTTCTGCCTGCACTTGTTTTCTTTGGCTCGGCTTGTTTTTATTTCGTTAATTTTGTTGTTGCGGCATCTGTTGCCTGGCTTCTGTTTGGATTGTATTTGTGTTTGTGTTTGCCCTAACCCTTGCCAAGTAAAATAATTTTAAACGTAATTCTCGGATGCGCCTACCACTCGGATATGCATCGCCTCGGATGCCTGGCCCACTTGAGAGTGGAGTGTTACTTTTGGCAAATGTCAGAGTGCCTCTACACACACTCCAAATCCACGCTGCCTGTGTGGGTTTAACCCACCAGCTAACAGCTAACAGCTACCAGCTACACCCCTTAACCCATATGCACTCAGCGCACATCTCCTGCTGGCAGGGACATGCATAAATATTATAAAACGTGCTGCTGCCGCAGATAGGTAAGTGCAGATCCCCACTGTCTGGCCAAAATGCTTACCCCCGGCTCTGCTAAATAAGCCCACTTGCTGATTGTCTGTCTGTCGGCCGGCCGTCCGGCCCTTCTACGGGCCTATGTACCATATCTGTGCGGTTGAGTTTAGGCCCGGATTTTTGGCGTACTCTTTGGCTTGCTGTAAGGAGCTTTTATGCCCGGACTAACTGGCTTGAACCACTCTGCTTTAGAGTCAGGCCATAAATTTTGGCCAAATGCTGGTAGAAATCTGCCCGTTTCTTTATCATTTTTTTGCCTTTGTTCAAGCAAATTGTATTTCAAATGAATGCTGTCCATACATTTTGGTTTCGTAATGTTTTGTCTTCAAACATAAATTTATACACTTTTTAAGCCTCTAATATCATCGAGCAAAAAGAATTCCCCATTGTGCAACTTGCTTTACAAATATTCCCATTCACTGGCAGGCTGATAATCCTTATTCCTGTTCGTTTTGTATTATGTGTGGTATACAATCACGTTTTTAATTGAGAATTTCCATAAGGCATAACAAAATGTATTGGGCCAACGAATCCTCGAACCCCTCCGTTGCGGGTTACCGATTTCGCAAGCTCAAAGCAATTAATTGCCAGTTAAATGCAATTAAGTGCAGCACGCGGAAAGATTCCATGAATATATTTACGCCCGCAACAGCCATTTTAATCGACTACAAGGCGATAAACATTAAAGAACGGCCATAAGGTCGAGTTCGTATTCGTATTAATTAAAGTCGCTTCCCGTTCGCTTAAGCCGGGATTTGTCACATGCAGGTCCAAAAACTTAATTAACTCGCTGTTTTATACGCACTTTTCGAGGACGTGGCGGTATCGTTTCTGGTTGCAGGTTGCACGATGCTTTTTTCAGGCTGCAGGCTGCAGGTTGTAGGTGGCAGCGATCCGTGCGGCAATCGCGATAAGTGCAACAGCAAATGGGAAGGAAATCTGGAGCGGTGCAAAGTCCACAAACAATGTGTAAGAACACGCGCGCGTTGGGGGAATTACAATTTTAATAAAGTCATACACACGCACACCCGCTGGCCAAGATGCCAATATGCGTGAGTGTGAGTGCGGGCGAGTGGGGGCGACGGCTCAGTCAGACTTATCCGGCAAAAGGACTGTACCGGCGTACAACACACCATCAATTTTTAATATCTATTTAACATTTCAATCAGCGGAATGGCAGCTCAGAATTCGCCGCTCGATTCGTATGCAAAATTTAATTAATATTTAATTTTTCATTTATTGTATTTCTGTGTTTTGCCTGCAATTTCCATGACGCATCGCGGAGCGCTAATAAAATTAAACGGCCCCAAACAACACAGGACCGATCCACTCACACAGACACCGACACCGACACCGACACAGACACACAGACGCACAGACGCCCGCACACAAACACTCTTGCACAAGAACACTCGAGCGAATCAGTTGTGCTTTTTTTGCCTTTGCGCTGGCTGCTTTCTGGGTTCCACGCGTCGCGTTTGGCTCCTCCAGCGGATTTCGCGTATCCTTGAGCAGAAGACCGTAGCGCCACGTTCCGACACGAATACGAAACTGAGCCACGGCATTGGCAAAAACGCTGCCGAGCACCAAAATGTCCTTTGGCTCGGTCGATTCCATCTCGGGGACTTTTGCGCTCGTCGCCGAGTCCTTCGGCGGACCGACCGCCTCGTTTCCACTCAACTGCCGAATGAAAGTAAAAATGGCACGAGCCCCGCGAAGAGAGCGTCTCGGCAGTTTGAGTTTGTTTTGGTTTAAATTGCATTTCAGGCCCTCGAGAAGTGGGCCTATCCCAAGTTGTTTTGCATTCTCGTCCTGCCCGAGGGAAATGTGCTTCTTTTCGCTTCAATTTTTGATTTTCTTTACTGAAATGCAATAAAAGTAACTGATTTAATATACTGTTTGACTTGAGCTATTGGCTTTTATAAACTGAATTAGCTCGAATGGTCGGTTGGTATTCCTTTGTATTACTTCAGTACCGAATTAAATTCTTTAATTTGGAGCACAAATTATTTTTAAAATAGTAGGTGTATATCCAATGATAATAATAAAAAAATCTCTTAGCAGTTACCCGCCTGTTCCGTAGCATTTTAGGAAATGCAAAAAAGGCAGCAGTAAGTTTCTTGACAATTTTAATAAGCTTCTTATAGTTCAAAATACCACCTAAGACTCTTATTGACTTTATTGTTTTTACCTTCAACACAGCATCTGGCAAACTTTTCCCAGTTTGCATGTCGCAATGAAAGAGAAAACTACCCGATGACCGAATTTTTCCTCAGTTCTCTTCAAAAATCAGCGCCTGCGCCTAAAACAGCTTCCAGTCAGCAAACCAAGGAATTATAAGAGTATTTTCCCTTTTTGGGACTTTATCGCTTTATTCAGCGCCGTCGAAGTCAAAGATTTCGTTTATTTAAAATCATTTTACAATGAAAGGATTTCTTGATTTAAAAGTGTTGATCCATTTTAGAGTCCTAATTACAAAAACAATTCAAATTTATCATTTATGCATATGTGCAATAATAGAAGTTCTTACCCATTAAAATTAATTTGGCTTATCACATCTTCATAATCTTCCAAATCTGTAAAATTACATTTGTTAGTAAGTGCATACATGAAGTTTAATGAAGTCAATTTTAAAATATGGATTTTTAGTATCAAAAGTATTGATTTATATATTTTTTAATGTTTATGTTGACAGAATATAAAACATAAAAAATATTATTTACTAACTAGAACTATCAAACTTTAAGCTTTAATAACTACAAAAAAGGTTTAGATATTACAATTTTTGTCGCATTGTTATCATTATTCACAAAATTTTATCGGCTAGAATAGAATTTGACAAACAAAATACCTTGTGTATATTTGAAAAAGGCTGTGTGTAACCTGTACAATAAAGCAAATACCTTCTCCAAAAATACTCCTTTTCCAAGTGGCTAATTCGTCTTACCCTGTCATGTGCGTTGGGCAACGGAGGACGAGTCGCGCCAGTTCCCGAAGGTCTGTTCCTGGTGGAGGCGGAATTCGACGAGGTCCCAGTTCCTCCTGGCCTGGTTTTCTTAACGTTGGTCAAGGGCTTCGGAGGCGACTTCGATGCTGGTTTCTCGGGCATTTTCAGGCTGCGTCTTTGTCCATTAAATTTGTGCAAGGCTATACAAATTTTGTATGTTAGTCCGGACGAATTTAATGTGGTAGCCCACTAGATGCCAAGAAAGTCAGATCAAGTTCACATGACGACTTTCAGCCAGGCAAACGAATACCTGTCTGACTTTGAGTCTGACACAGGGCAGTCCAGTCATTCGTCAGTCGTCACGGCAACTCAACTTAGCGTTCATAAATGTATGAACAGTTGTGTTCAACAAAATAGCAGCAGTTCTAACTTCAGTTTCTTTTATTTTGCTTATTTTCCTGCTTAAATACCTACTGTTCATTTATTATAAATTTATATAAATTTTCATAGTCATATAACACTCCTTCTTGAAATCAACACACTCCATTTTTTATCCAACCGCTCTGATTATGCTTATTGATTAGAAAAACAATATAGAATGTCTATTGCCTTGAATGGAGCTGTATATGGCCATACATCATAAATGTCAGCGCCTGAAATTACGCAAAAAGCATAAAGCCATATAAATGAGTATACTTTAAGGCGCACTATATTTATGTACTTGCCGGGAAAATTGTCGCACTTGCATGAAATATGTCCGTGTCCATAGATGGCAGTGCGTATATTTTTTATAAATTAATTTGCATAAATTATGGCATATGAGCGAGCGAGGCTAAGTTGAAGCCGGGCCAAGCGTTTGCTATTTATCAAGGCAGCGCAAATTCCTCTAAATGTCTGGCTCACAGCAACAATCACTCACTCATTCATTCCATCATTCGGCGCTCCATTCACTCCATTCCTCCACTCGCAATTTGCATTTTTCGCACGGGCATTGTCCGCTCGGTAAACGGCACTCTTATGGAAGCCCCAGGGGTGAAAGTTGGGGGTTCGGGGGTTGGCGGCGGCGGCAACAATGTTGATTGTCTGCTAAAGAGCATAAAGTCGTAATGGAGTGAAGCAGATAAACATAAAAATAGCATACAATTGTGGGCACAAAGGCGCAGGCGAGTCGGGAAATGCGAGAGGAAATAGAAAAGCCAAGCCCGTAGAATGGAAAATGCACGCGTACGCGCAAATGTTATGGCCAATCACTTTATTTCACTTGTTTTCAATTTTCTTCAGCGCTTCGCTTTTCTTCCACTTCTTCCCGCCCGAGATTCTGGGGGTGGAATCACGTAGAGGTCATGCTAATCAGTGCGACAGCTGCCTAAACGCTTCCACCTCATCTGGAAAATGGCATTGTGCACTGTAAAAAGAGGATATCTCGGTAAGAAAGCTTTTCCTGTTACCTTAGCATAAGACAAAAACAAAATGCTTCTGCTAGAAAACAACTATTTTAATAAAACTTAAATTAAAATTCTTATTTTTATTTTTTTTAAATATTATAGAACACAATAATTTTTTCTTGATTTTCTGTTGGTACAAGACAATATATGAAACACCTAGTAAGACATATTTAAATTGCATCACTTAATTTTAAACCAGATATTTTCTGCTGGATGTCATAAGCAGGTTGTTTCCACGGTGTACTAATGCTCTCCTTCTCCTGCTCAATCCGCAAACCCCAGAGAATAGCCACAAAAACCATCGAATAATTGAGTCATCAAATGTTTGGCGCACCCTTTTACTTTCGGCTGGCTGTAGCCACGGCTTTGACAATTAACCGAACTATAAAATGTTTAAGTTTGAACACCTGGCTGGTAGAAAAACGTTTTCCCAAAATACCCACATACCCACACACCCACACATAGACACGGGCACACGCATACATTTAAGCCAATTAGCATTTATGTGCGTCGCTGGCTGGCTGAGCAAAATGCGTTACATTTTCATCAAACGCACGACACTTTGTTTTAATTTGAGCAACCGCACGCACACAACCAGACAAACCCCACGCACACACACACACACATGGGTACGAGGACACCCACGCATACAGTGACAGGCTCTGGTTTTGGTCTCGTCACGGTTTACAGATTTCCGTTCCCCAAAGATCCTCGCACGGGATATAACATTGTTTTGGGCAATTCGCTTTTACTGTGATTAATTTAAATGCACCCCATTCCCCGTCCCTCTGAATTTTTATACTCTCCGTCACGTGTTCGGGATTCATAAATATCCTTGAAGCTCCCGCGCCGCAATTTTAAATCGAAGTGCTCGTGGAGAGAAGTCCCCCTTCGGTGGAGGACACAATTAGCCCCCGATGGCAGACAACGCCTAGAGTTGCCGTGCTAATGTGGAATACCCTTGACTCGGCTTTGGGGATTAGCTGTAAGGAAACGGAATCATTTTACTCCCGGAATTTATATGGGAATCGTAATCACATACGCATTTTATGGGCCACGTTAAAGGGAAGGGGGAGAAGACACACCAAACATTCATAAACTATGATTATAATGAGGGAAATACAAACGAAGTCTTCCATTTTACATCTTAATTATGGGTGAAGGGAAATACTTCTTTTTACAACTATACACTGGGAAAAAATATGAGTGTTTCGTAAAATGTCTAAAAATGTATTTTCAATAGAACAAAAAAATTCTTAACATATTAAAAATTTCTTTTTTTTGCCTTAATTTTTATTATTATGATTTTTGCTTCATTAAATGTCAGTTTATTTAGTGGCTTAATCGTTCAGTCGAATCGGATTAGGTAGATTGAAAAGGATCAAAAAACCTTTCTTAAAAAGGGTTTTTAAAGTCCTCGAATATTTTAACAATGATTAATGAGCACATACAAATTATGGAGGCACTTTCATGAATATCATGTCAAACATTAATTAATTAACAACCAAAATTAGCCATCCTCAATACTCCTACACATTTTTCGAGTGAACTCATTACGGTTCCATCTGTCAGACCACTCTGTTAGCCGATAGGAAGATCTTGGGTTGCTTTGTGCGAACAGCAACTGCATTTGGGCCTGGTCACCCAATGCGTTCTCTCACCTCAGGTGTAAATCAATTTAATTTTTGGCTACTGGAAATCCAGGCAAGTGGTAACGGAGGATATGTACATGGGCACCTGTCCAGGTAGCATTACCTATCTGCTCCGGCGTGTGTGCGTGTTGGTGTGGGTTTCGGGTATCCAGTGTGCGTGCAGCACATATATACGATCATGCATCATAATCCAAGCCCAGTCCCATACGCACACCACCGCACACCGACACCCGCACACAGATACACATCAGTTGCTTTGTAATTAATTACTTCACACATTGACGCCGGCCAGATTCGGGTGCGGATGAGGGTATTCCCAACAACGGCCAACACAAATGTAAAGTTTGCTCTCCGATTCCGATGGCGCCAATACACCCAGCGAAAATGTCTTCAGCAACTGAAGATCCTTTACTATACGACCTTTTTGAATAATTAACGCAGTTTAAAGCTCAAAATACAAGGTGTCTAATATGTAGGTTAAAAGATAAGATTTTGAAAAGTAGATATATTTGTCTGAATACCATTATCCCGTCTTGCTATATTTTCTAATTTTAAGCAAAAAAGTGTATGTACATTTTTTAGATTTTAGTTTACCCAAGAACATGCTATGATGCTTAAAGATTTTTGATTTTTATTTTGTATCTATCAAATCTATACATCATGAAATATTTTCAGAAATAAAGACTCCAGGCCTTCTTGGCTTAATTTAGCAAAAATCATTTTTGTATTTCCAATTTGGGTTTTTATTTTGCAATAAAGAAAAAGCGATTCTATCACCTCAGCCATAAAACAATACCATTCTTTTAGTTGCAAGCCAGTTGTTTGACTTCAAAATGTTTTTCCTGAGTGTTGTGCTGCAGCTTTTGTTGCCTTTGCCGCCCATGCTAACTAATATTGTTACCAGCTTTCGGATAGTTAGCTGCATGTTTGTCTAGCTGCTCCTGCTGCTGCCCCCTCCGTTGTTCATATCGTAAATTATGTGCCATTTATGCGGCATTGGCTTGAAATGGAAATTTGTCCCATTTGTTGCTCGGCGAGACACTTGAGTATTCATATGGGAGCCCCCGGCCTGTTGTTTGGCATTGATTTATGCGACCGAGTAAATTTGGCTAAATATTAAATGAAACGTTAAGCACAAGATGCTCCTGCGCAGATCCCCGGCATCTTCGCCTTCCCCAACGAGGGTCAACTTTAATTTGACTTATAATTAGGGATAACCTCTTTGAACCCTGGTCTCCCCCCCTCGCCCGCTTGGCCTGCTCTTTTGGGCGAATAATGATGCCCTCAATTAAGCCAACAAAAGTTTGGTCCACAGCCCGACAGAGCTGGCTGCAATTATACGCGCAGGCAAATTGAGTTAGCGCCTCCGACTTGAGCTGCATTGCCATGCATTTGAGTCGGTCCAAGAAGTTATATAAAATAACCCGGCAACCGTGCAAGGTGAGAGCGGTTTGTTTCTGCCGGTCTGCTGTTGTTTTTAATGAGCTTTGGCCGGAGAAAAGGCCTGATTACGGGGCCAACTTGCGAGTGGCTTAATTATGAGTTGGAATTAGTTTCGCCTTAAACGCAGTTCACACTATCACATTACGCGGCGCACATGCGAGCGTTCTAATTAAACTTCCATGCCAAAAAGTTGCGCTTTTGATTATGCTGCTGACCAATAAGTGCAATCAGGATGCAGTGGCAGTGGCAGCGGCAATGGCAATGGCAATGGCAATTAACTGGCGGCGGTGAGGGCCGGAGTGTCGGATGGCCGGCAAACAAACTGTTGGCTTAAACTCAAGCGCGGCAACAATTTATGCGGGCCACAACGAGTTGCGCGGCCAACAAAACAACCGAAAAAACCAAAACGACAACATAAACAACTCGCATATGAGCATTTGGCCAGTTCGCTGTCCCATCCGCCACTTCACGTACATTGTGGTTACCACATTGCAACCGAAACAGCCAACAAATAGAGAACTTTCCGCAGCGTTGCAAGCTGGCAAAACCCCTTCCATCGCCACGGCCGTGGTATGCAAACATTTTGAACAAATAGTTAACTAATATTTCGAATGATGTTACTTTGCGCAACTCTTTTCCGCATCGAAAAATATCTGTTCAATGGGCAGCTATTCAGCTCGCTCCATAATTGGCCTTCCATCTTTTTTCTGTGGGTTCTAGGGGGCTTAACCAAATTCCTCTCACATTTTCACATCT